TGTAATGTGTTGCATAAACACTCATAGCCTCTACATTCCTTAAAGTGACTTGTGTTTTATACTATGTCACTTTAATCTCTTTGGTTAGCATTGCATTTCATACAACTTGGTATCACATGACTGTAACTATTCCTTGTATTGCTATTCTCTTTGAGAAATGATTTTATTTCCTCTATCTCACAAGTCAGTGAACTTTACAAATGTTGCTTTCAAATACAACAGTTTGTAGATGATACATAATGTCCTAATGGCTTCTGTTATTAAAATGATTATGGTTTTTGAGCTTCAGATTAGGTAATGAAACTAGTGTCAGAGGTCAGACAAGTTTTTTCAGAACATTCCTCAGAATATATTGTCTATCATTTCTCTTTTTAAAAATAGTAATCCTTTCAGTTCGTTTTTAGGCATTTTGTTTCCCCGATTTATACATTTTGAGGATCTCTCAAGCAAGAATCAAATTAACAGCAACAAAGACTTACAACCATATGATGTTCAAACAATATCTCATGCAATCACAAATGTTAAGCAATGTCAAACCTGATCAGTACCTAAATAGATAAATACTTGAGAATACCAGATGCTGTGCACGTGGTGTAGTGGATAATGGCTTGGAATTAAAAATCAGAGAGCTGAATTCCAATTTCTGTTAAGTTCGTTATATTTATTTATGTGCAAGGGAAATCTATGAATCCTTCTTTCTCTTCCCCAGCTATGGGTTAACAAATAGAACTTTTATCAGTAAGTCTCAAAAGTTTTTATAATCTCAATCTATTTTCTGGCTTTAAATGACCTGCAAAAGGTTGATAAACTGTAAAAAAAAAAACAATGAGCAAAAAATAGAAGTCAGTTTTATAAAAAAAAAAAAGTTCCTCTTTTTTGGTTATTATATCACTGTTATGATTATTAACATGGCTCTGGGTAAAATATTACTCAACACAAAAGGCATGAAATTTCTAATGGTCAAATATTGAATACTATTGTATTGCCATTCAGCCACTAGTCAAAAAAAAAAAAAAAAACTGGTAAAACCCACATAAAAATGCTTTTTTTCATGAAAGATATTTGCTGAAAAAGAATATGAGCAATATTTTTTTTTTAAATGTTGTTGAAAGGATCATACTAACGCAAAAATTAGTCATAAGGAAAATCATAGTAATTAGTCATGGTTAAATCAGATTATATTCATATATGGAGTATGGTTAATAAAGTATTAATGAAAGAGAAAATTTAAAATCCCTTAAAAAATTTAGGATGCTTCCCCACAAAATTGCCTGGTTAATGATCATCAGTAACACAAACTAAAATATTCTCCATATATAATGACACCAACAAATAATGTTCAATAAAAACATTGAACACATATCACGATCACAAAACCTTGCAAATACAGGTAAACTGTGTGAATGAATATCCATTAATTGGTTTAATAAATAAAGGATGACAGACATTCAGAAGATCATTTTTTTGTATTATGGTCTCAAGAATAGCAAATGGTTTAATAGCCTTTAATCATTAACTTTTGCATTTTCATGTAAAATGCATAAAACCTCTGGTCCATCCTCTAAGAGCCCAGCAAATTATCCTCTAAAATAATTGATAAAAAAACTAAGACATCATTAGTGGCATGATTTCTTTCAAAGAAACCTCTAACCAGTAGGTTTCATGATATGACACTGGTGCATTCAACTTCACACACATATATATATATATATATATATATAAGAAATATACTCTTAAGGTGTGCTACATTTATGGGATAAAGTGCTCAATCTCAGAGATAGAGTATATGTAAATATAAAAGTGAACATTGAAGTCAACACTTAGAGGCGACAGGCTGTTTCATTGCATCTAGCATGAAACAGCCTGTCACCTCTAAGTATTGACTTCAATGTTCACGTTTATATATATATTTTTAAACATTTCACTCCAAGCAAGGCATGAATGCTACTAGTATGCAGGGGATTACAGAGAGTGAGAGGAAAAAAAACTGAGTATAGCAGGAATTGAGGAAAGGACGAAAGATGAATGGCATACAAGAAGATGGCAATTAAAGTTGCATTTATGTTTTTGAAGATTGTATTTATCAGGGAAGCAAGTAAATGGAAGGGAATTGCACAGGCAGAAAGTCCAAGAAAAACTGTTGGAGTAGGAGTGGCAGTTGCATTTAACTATTTCAACAGTAAACAGGTTGGACGTAGATGCCAATCTAGTCGCACGCTTAAATTAAAGTAATTAAAAAATCTTATTATAGTCGCCATGAAAATATTTGTAGAAAAGACAGAGAAAAAGTGACTGAAATACCAAGTCAGGATGAATTGCATTGCAGATCCTTCTTTGGATTTTGTCAATAACCTTGAGATGAACAGCAGGGGCACCAGACCAGATATGGCAGAAGTATTCAATGCACAGATGAATGGTAGATCCTTCAAGGGTTTGATTGATAAGTGAAGTTTTCTATATAATAAAACTGGTTCTAGACAAGATAGAATAATGAAACTGCTTCTAATAAGTTTATTTCTCTTCAAAATTGTGTCAATTGCTAAGTGTTGTCTCCAAGGCCAGGAAACTAGTTTTAGACCAAATAAATTAATGAAGCCTATCAAAATTTCTCTCTTCAAAGTTGTGTTTTGATTGATTAGTAAGGTTTCTTTCTTCATATAAAACAAATCTTAGGCTAAACAGAATAATGAAACTGGCACCAAAATTACAAGTTTATTTCTCAATATAGTTACACTTTAATTTTGTACATCTTTCATTTATACTATTTACATTGTTCAAACTGTTGTGTGGTTGATATGCCATAAAACCCAACCAACCAACCGAATCAAACTGTTGTCCACATCTTTATTGGCATATTCACATTTCAACCATTGTATACTTCGGCCATCTTCAGGTGATATATGTTGGAATTTTGAACTGAACCCTTTATTTCGTCCACCAGAGTAGATTGTTCTAGTTCTATGGGCCATACCTTTTCTGGATATCTCAGTTTCAGTTATTTCCCTTTCTAACATATATCACCTGAAGAAGGCCAGAGTGTACAATGGTCGGAACATTGTGAATATGATGATAATGATGAGGACAACAGTCCGAACAGTGTAAATGGTTGCAATACCTCATCTCAAAAATATTGATTGATCTTTCATTCAGTGTATAAAGTTTCTGGTTTGCTTTTGATTAATTTCTGTGTAGACACTTCAAATTTGGCATCTGATAAAAAAGAATATTGACTTTTCGTCCTTTCTTTGAATTTCTGGAATTGTGTGATGGTGGCAAACCAGTACCGTATTGAAGTTATTTCAGCCACTGAGAATTTCATGCTTTTCATAATTTCTTGAGTACAGACCTTCTGATCTGTGGTTTTATTTTGAGCTTGCAATGTTCCATTGCTTTTATGTGTCTATGAATTTCAGTTTGGATACAAACTTCTATCAAAAATTCTATTATTGATTACTACTTTATATATGAATTGGTCATAGTGCTCCTGACTAATAAACACTTATTTAATGGCATCATCTAGTGATTTGAACAGGACTTTATATACTACCAAACACATGTTTCTATGTTTAATATTAGTGAAACCAGATGGGAAGAGTTTTTCTTATCAAGCCTTATCATAAGAAGAACCAAACATGAACAGATAATAGAAAAAAGCTTGTGCTGTGGGTTTAAGTGTCTTTTTTTTAACTTGTCCACTTCTATTACTAAAATTAAGTTGTGGAATCTTGTATTTTACATAAAAATAATGTCATTGTTTCCTCAAAACACATGTCCATGATACAGATTTACTGTCTAATGTTGCTGCACAATCTTTGGTCAAGAAATTTTCTGATTTGTTAGGGAGTAAATAGCTTGTTTTTTGTAATTATTTCACCCCCAAGCAAGGTGGGAATGCCACTAACATGCAAGGGGTTACTGGGAGCGAAAGTGAACAAGAGGGCTTTAGTGAGGAGAACAGACAAAAGAACAGTTTTCAGAAAAACCAGAAATTGGCAATAATGCCACAAAGACGAAAGGAGTTAATGGGAATGACTGATCTTTCATTCAGTGTATAGAGTGAGAAGACTTTGAGGAGAAAGGACAATAAAAGAATAGGATTTAGGAAGAGAAAAGATGGCAATTGGCATTGTATTTAAATTTTTGAAGATCATAGGTTGCTGGAAAGGAAGAAACTGAAAGAGTTCCACAGGTGAGAAAAGAAATTAGAATAGAACATATGGTTGCATCTAACTAATTCACCAGTAAAATGAGACATAGCTGCCAATCCAGATGTACGCTTAAAATTTTTGCAGTTGAAGTACTAACGAGGAAAGTTCATCAGAACAGTTGCCATGAAAATATTTATAGAAAAGACAGAGGTATGTCACGTCATGGCAGTGTGAGAGTGACTAAAAATGAAATGTCATGTCAGGATCAAAACATTGCAGATTCTTTGGATTCTGTCAAGAATATCTATAAAACAGAAGCACCAGACCAGATTCAAGACATAAACAAATGGTAGACTTAGAAAAATTCATTAATTTTTTTTTTTTTTTAGTTTTAAAAATTCTAAACTTGTATATCATCATCAAATTGTAACAAAATAATGTGAAATTAATGTGTTTTAGCCTAGTGAACACAAATGAAAAAAAAAAACGAGGATTTTTTTTTTTTTTTCATAATTTAATATCTAAAATTGAACCAATAATTTTTAATAGTGTCAAAATAGAGGAGGTGGATGATTATAAAAATCAATGTTCTGTCTGTAGTGCTGATAACATACTGTTTTTTTTTGGGGGGGTGACATTTGAATCTATTTCTGTTTGAATTTTGTTGCAGATCATGCCACACATATCAATGTCACATCCATGAGTTACTCTGACCCATCAGACAACATTTTCTTGTAGAGGTGGGTGGGTGGTAGTTGAAAGAGAGAGAGAGAAAGGATGAAAAAAACTGAGTGAAGAGTTTCTCTTCATATTTGGTTACATTATAAAGTCTATGGCATTTTTATTTCTCAGCAAACTTACTATCCAAGTGCCCTATGTCCTTGATCCACTTTCCCTACTTCCATTGCTCCCTGATTACCACCCCCCTTTTTTTTCTTCAGTGGTCACGTGATTCTATCCACGCATTTGTTATTGATATTTTCACTTACTAACTTCAGAAAGATAAAGTAAGCTTTTAAAAAAATTTTGCCTACTTCCCTTTGCTTCCTGTCCCCTCCCCTTATTCCCTGCCCACCTCTTTCTTCAGTGGTCATGTGAGTCTCTCCAAGCATTTGCTATTGATTCTTTTCACTTACTAACTTCAGAAAGATAAAATAAACTCATAAAAAAATTTTGCCTACTTTCTGGATGAATTTTCAAATGACTTGTTAGAGTTGCAATCTTTCCCAAAAATTAAAAAAAAAATCAACAACTAGAAAGTTTCACTGCTCTTGTTAATTTGAATATTCATAACCACTTTTTCCATTTCAACTGGAAGACATACTCAGCATTGTTTGGGTGAAGTCACTTTCCTTTCCTTTCACTATGCAGTCATTTGAAAGAATTGTTATAAAATTACTGAAACTCTTATAATAAAAGCAGTTCAATAGGTTTGTTTTAAATTAGAGGATTATGTGTATGGCAGAGACAGTTTAACATTTTTCCCACAAAAAGATGATGACACCTCAAAGCGTTGCCCCGCAGTGCATCTGCCTCTGCTCAAAGCGTTGCCCCGCAGTGCTTCTGCCTCTGCTCAAAGCGTTGCCATTCCGCAGTGCTTCTGCTCTGCTCAAAGCGTTGCCTCAAAGTGCTTCTGCCTCTGTCTGCAGTGCTTCTGCCTCTGCTCAAAGCGTTGCCCCGCAGTGCTTCTGCCTCTGCTCAAAGCGTTGCCCCGCAGTGCTTCTGCCTCTGCTCAAAGCGTTGCCCCGCAGTGCTTCTGCCTCTGCTCAAGTGCTTTGCAAATATGCCCTGCCAAAGTGCTCTGCCTCTGCTCAAGCTTTGAGAAAATCATTTTAAATTTTTTCAACCCAACCTCTGCTCAAGTCCGTTGCCTTGTGATTCTTATTCAATTTCTTAGTTTAGTTGCCTCTGCTCAAAGATTTTTTGAATGGTAAATAAATTGAAAACTTTGCTCAAAGCGTTGCTTAGTTCTTTTAAAAAATGTTGCTTTATTAAAAACTACCTCTCTGTTTAACCATAAGTTTACATGCCTTTGCTCTTTTTTTTTTTTTGCATATTATCTAAACAGGAGCCTCAACCTCTTTCATTACACTTGAATAATAGTTTCTAAATGCTCAAAATATTTATAAAATCTAAATCTAGTAAAATTAAGGACAGTGCGGTCTTTCTCTCAAAGCGTTGCCCTTGTCATCATTCAAAGCGTTGCCTAATGTCTTAAGCCTCTGCTCATCTTCGTTGCCCAATATTGCTCCAGCGTTTTGCCCTGCAAAGACTTTGCCCTTCCTCTCAAAGTTCTTGGCCTGTCCCAGCATGTATTTAAGAAAATTTCAGATGTTTGGTCAGATTTTGCGAAGGGGTCTTGGCTGAGAGCATTTCATTATTTGTATCTTTGGACTTTATAAAATCTGTTGCAAATATATAGCATGTGGATGATATTAAACTTTTATGTCAGATAAACAACATTAATGTTTGACTTCAAAAAATATATATATATATATATATATATATATTAAATTCTGACATTTGCTTCACCAAATTGTTGTTCTCACATATAATCCACGCCAATGAACATATTTCAACTTTAAATGAAAAATGCAAGGTTCAGAAATTTTGACAATCATGCAAATGAAGTTACCAATTCATTTAATCTCTTTAATCTTTGGGAAGATTGCAAGATCAAATTTTAACAAACTGCTTACTAAAAAAATGATTGTAATTTAATGTTGTAATTATTTTTATTTTTCAGTTGACCACACCAGATGCCAGCTGAAGCCTATAATGAGTCGACAAAAGCATTCCGATTACATTAATGCTAATTATGTAGATGTAAGTGATTCCTTTTATCTTTTACAATTTTCTTTTTGAAAATCCAGGGTGCAGATTCATATTTTGGTAAGATTTGAGAGCGGCATTCTCAAGAATTTTCTCTTTTGAGAAATGTCATTCTTTAGATCAGGAAAGTCTATCAAAAGATGAAACATTGGCTAAGATAAGTTTTCCTTTTATTCTTAGTCTTTATTCGTATTGTTCTTTCATAGATGTATTTTTAGTTATATCTGGAATTTTATATACTCGAATATTTTTACAACACACTGAAACGTGTGGAAATCTTCACACTATTTTGTATTGAAGTTATCTAACATTTTTTGCTGAGATTTACAAACTCTATGCTTCATTCAATTTCACAAACCAATCCATGAAATTTGAATAAGCTGATTTGCTCAGAAAAATATTTTGTCAAAAACCCTACTTAGCAGTTTAATAAATTAAAGGACTGTATGGTAAACAATATTTGTTAAATTTCTTTCGATAAGACAATGTATGGCTATTTTTGTGAGTGTAACACAGTAAGAGAAGTCACATAATTTTATATACCAGAATGAAATATATAAAAGCTTAAAGAAAATATATGCAAAAAAACAATATTGCATTTTTATTAAATAAGTATTTATTATTTTAATCATTAAATTGTTTTTAAAATAGTGGGAGTATTTTGTATAATTTAATTTTTCCCTCAAAATCAATGTAAATTTCTTGTACTAAGATATGCACCCAAGTAAAACCAACTGTACTTTGCACCCCCTTACCAGTTTGCACTTTTCCCTAAAATTTGAATTTGATCAGTCAATGTATGGCTATTTTAGAGGGTATGATGGACGGATCGATGGATGGACTAACAAAAGTCACAGAATTTTATGTATAGATATGTGTACATTATTTTCAGACAGTGAAGGAACAAGATGAATAAAAAGACAAGGAAAAACTATTCTTAGCTGACACCTTTGTCCTCTGAGGGATTTTATCAAAGTGCTTTTTTCTTGATAAAGTCCCTCAGAACATTTTGAGTAAGATAGTTTTTCCTCTTCTCTTTTTTATATATATATATATATATATATATATATATATATATATATATATATATATATATATATATATATATATATTTTGGCAGCATGTTTTCATTAGGACATGTTTATTTGAATAATTTAAACAAGTTTTGTCTACTTATTTTCGATATCCTCTCATATTCACAGACAAGCTTCTTAGTATCCTTAATAAAGGAAGAGAGAAGATTACTTGTATGTGTGTGCATACATGTATACACACACACATACATACGAGCACGGCCGAGTGGTTAGAACATTTGCATTCTGATCATGAAAGCCAGGTTTGAATCTTACCGTGATTGATTTGTCATGAAGGAGACATTCTGATGTTATTGGACTGGAGGGATCAATCCCAGTGTGCAGCACCTTTGGAAAGTGGTTGAAAACCATACTGTTGGTTGGCCCAAGCCTTGTGAGTAAAATTGGGTAAGCAAACCATTCGGGGGCCGTCAATAGCTGTGCTAGCACAGTCACAAGTCATCATGGCCAAGGGCTAGAGCGTGCTGACCTTGTTCTGATTGTTGATCATGCTAGATAACACCCTCTCTACCAGAAACTGTAACTATGGTTTGCTCAGCACAGTTGCAGTATAAACCACAGGTGGGCTATGTGAGTGTTGAATAAACACAAATGCGCCTGAGCAAGTGTCTGCAATAGAGATTGATTAGCCACCCTAGTAGACTGGTATCATCAAATACAAATGGCAAGCTATACGTGTGTGTGTGTGGGGGGGTGCGATGGGTAAATTGTCACCATTTTATCTTTTAAGTTTCACACATGTGCATTGTTTGGAAAGGGCATACTGTACTGCTTGGCATTTGCACCAGAAGCATCAGTATGAACATTTCAGAGTGTTTGGGGTGTCAATCTGAGGACAGGGCAGAGGATTCAGGAAGAGTTGAATGGTGATTACGAAGATGTTTGGAGTGATGACAATATTATGCCTCCATTCATCTTCCCATTGGGCCTCACTCAGACTCAGCATGGAGGCTTACATCACATGCCTTGAGGAGGTAGTGCTGCCCTGGGTCAAGAGTGTGGCTGCTGGAAGACCTTATGTCTAGCAACAGGACTCTGCACCATGCCACACAATCAGGAGAGTCAAATCATAGCTGTCAGACAATTTCTGCAATCACATCACCCCTTACTGCTGACCACCTAACTCCCCAGGAGATCATCCAGAAAAGATGCAGGAGATTCTGAAATCATCTGGAGGCTGGGGTTGCAGTCAATGGTGATTTTTATTGAATAAATTTACTCTTTAGTAGTTCAAGATATTTTTATGTAATTTTGGTAAATATGTTTGTTAGAATGAGATGTCAGTGTTTCATTTTTCGTAACTTAGACCACAATTTAACTATCACACTATGTATGTATGTATATTTTTTATAATTTATATATATATATATATATATATTTTTTTTTTTTTTGAACTCTGCTTATAGAATCAGGAATATTTCTTTTTAGTAATAAATGGTAGGATAAAGAACAATAATACATAAAATGATTTAAGCTGCGTATCAATTCATAATCTTTTATACTTGGTTTCTTTGTGCTATTTTCCTTCCATATTTTGTCAAATGTTAAATCTTCTCTGAATATTTTCTTTCTTTTTAACAAATTGATGATACCTTTATACCATTTATGTAAATGAATGTTTATAAAAGTCTGCTTAAAATTACCCCCTTTTGATTTCCTTGCACCAACATCAATTTGCATTAATTCTTCGCATTAAAAGCAAAAAATAAATGTCAAAATAATTAAAAGAAAAAAATGGTTATTACTTTTGTTTTTGGTTTCCCCAGACTTTTCATGATATATTTCTAAAATTAAAATAATTTCTCTATTCTCCTTTGCTATTTTTACATGTCTATAAGAATGTTGAGTGTATGCTTTTATTCACATGTAAACTAGAACATTTATCTTTTTATCTTTCCAGGGTTACAATAAGGCCCGTGCCTACATTGCTACCCAGGGTCCACTACCACAGACAGTGGATGATTTTTGGCGTATGGTCTGGGAGCAGAATTCTGCTGTGATTGTTATGATAACAAACTTGATGGAACGAGGAAGGGTAAAGATTGAATTTGATCAAATATCCTAAA